AGGTTACTGTTGCGGAAATGCCAATTTTAGGATTGATGGCCTCTAGCGCTCTATCAGCTGCCTCGGCTATCTCCTGCAGGAGGTACTTGTAGATCGGTGCTAAGTTACCCTGGACTGCATGAGGTAATCTTTGAATCCAAAGCTGTTTCAGAAAGACCTCGTCAATTTTAAAGTCCGTCACTAACTGCTTCATCTGCCTCAACATTTGTGAGGGCTTGCTGTCACCTAACTGAACATCTCGGAAAAGTTCCTGCACTTTCTGTTCGTCAGTAAGTGCGACTTGTTGAATTAACGCCTGTCTGAGCCGCTCATACCGATCCGGAGACGGATCTGCAAGAACGTCAGACATCTCGTCTATGACATTTTCAGGCAGGCTCACAATCACGCGGTTTACTTTGATCTCTTGTGAGTGTATGTGTCTAATGGCAAACTGAGGCTCTATATGATTAAACCATGCAGCTGGGCGATGTGTCAAGAAGGCGGGGAGTTGCAGAGTTATAGCCATCTCTGACGCAGAACCGTTGTCAGCCATCTTGCACACAAGACAAAGTGTTAACAAGGTGATAAAAGCCAATATAAGTACAAACAAAACAAATCAAATCTTTATAACCGTGCGTGAAAACAAAAAAAATTAACAAAATAGACGGTATGTAAAAAGAATTATTAACACGTTAAGCTACTATGGCAGAAAACGGTGAAAACGGGCTCACCACTTTTAAGTGTTGGGGCTTGACTTAAAATACACCTCGATATCCCCCACACTTACTAAAAACTTCACCGACCTATAAGTTTACCAGTACTCTACCTAACGTGTAAGTACTGATTAACGCAATCAAAGTTTAAAGGCTAAAAATGGAAAGAATTCGTAATATGAGTTGTATTTAATGTAACCGAATAACAGATTTAATAAATAAAGTGACTGTACAACTTATCTGCCGACTCGACTGTAGGTAGGCTCGAAGAGTGTGCTGTATGAAAGCACAACGAGGGAGCGAACCAAGTGCGTCAGTAAAATCATGGTCCAAGAAATCCAGAAGCGCCAAAAGTGGGGTGAGTGAGTTTAAACAAAAGTTCAGAGGTTAAATGTCCACTACAATATAATTAGAAAGCTGAATGTCAAGTACATATTTTAGCCAACATAAAGAAAATAATTTGGTTCAAGTGAAGGAAGACAAGTGAATGTCAAATTTAGTGACACATGGGTAAGAAGCAGATGACTTTAAAAAACTAGCGGAAGTATTGAAACAAATAACTATCCAATCAAAAATACTTTAAAATTATTCATACGGCCAGTCTTCGCTGAAATCGCTCTAGATACACCAAGAAGCCCTGGAACATAAGAAGTAATGGCTCCGGTTTCACGTTTTTGAGATACAGAGCTTGCGACAGCACTGGTGTTTAGTCCCACCCAAATATATAGTCCGTCACTCATTCCTTCTCTTAGTACATACTTTCTTAAAACACATTTCATACATGACATCACAGTTCTTGCTAGATAATCTTTATCTCTGTCACAGTTTTCATTAGCCCCCATAGGCCATGGACCGCATGCAGTTGATTCAGTAGGCGTTTTCTTCCGTGAAGTTGTTATACTTACAAAACCATTTCGACGAAAAACAATCCTTATCTACCTCACAAGTATTAGACAAGCATTTGAGTTTTCTCTCTCACGTCTAGAACAGTCACTTGTAATAGTGTAATCTGTTTTTATTCTGCATTAATCCTCTATATAATATTGTATAGTGTTCTTTCTCGGACATTTGACTACGAAAAAGGCTGTCACGACCGATTCCTGACCACGGACTCCTGGGGCTGATAGTTAAATAATTCACCATCCATCACTGTTTCAGGTTTGTTAGTGATAGTGTTTTTCTTGCTGATATTCTATTGGTTTTCCAATCTGTGCTCAGAGTGTGATAAACTAGTGAGTCTTCAGGCAAATAAAAATCTGATTTCATCGGTTGAATCAAATGGCATCTTTAGCACTTGAAGACTAAGCGACCGCATGGATATGCTTCAAATAAACCCACTGCAATAAGAAATGATTAACTCCATAACACTGTATTCTAGTGCTAGTAAGCGGTGCCACACTGTCTTGTGCATTCTTACAGCTTGCAAATTTTTTAGTCGTCATGCCAGTTCTACTCCCTATTGAAATCTTTTTTCACCCGGTTTTCAAGTTGTTTTCTAACTTCATTTCAACCAATGGAAGTGGTTATGGAGATACGGCACTTTTTGACCCTAATAGCCCTCCTGTTTCAATACTTATCAAATCTCTTACGCTTGAGAATCAAAAGTTAAATGATGTAGGGTGGAAAATTCAGTTGCCCAATTTATCTCCTCAAGTTTTCGAAATACGACTCCATTTCATTCTTAGGCTAAGATCATAATCAAACGTATGCATGAGCTACTAATTATCGGCGTTTTTGTCAAGGTTCTAGTTAGTATTTACCACCATGAACTCTTTTCACTTTATTTGTTTAATGTAGGCCATAAATAAGGCCTTTGGAAGGCGCAATTTTTAAAATTGTTATTTGTTAGTGTTTTTGATCGTCGTTGGATACATTTTGTGAGAATGGCAGGAATTGGAATGGCCAATGAGACAGTATATCATCAATGAATGTTTAATTCATATTTACTAATTTTAGCATCATGTGATTGACACAGAAGTGTGTCAGCTAAACGTATACGTGCAGGTAATATTTTAATGCTTAGTTTGTTGATAGGTTTAATACTTTGAAGTTTTATTTCACGCATATGAAACTAATGGCATTTCTATTTTTACATTGCCACTTGGTTTAAGTTATTACAGAAAGGGATTCTGGGAGAATAAGACCACATAGGTTAATAATAGTACTACTCGTATGACACTATGGACAACATGGAGAACTCTTGCCATAAAAGTTTTGCAAGCATGGTTTATATGAATTTGTAAGGGTGGTAGTCATAACACATACCTTAGTGTGTCTTATATGAGGAATTTCGGGTAATGTACTGCCTTTTTCGAACAGGCAGTGCATAGATCGACAACTCTGACCAGATTTCGCTGCATCAATTCAGATGAAAAAAATAGTAACATGATTTCTCTGTGGCACTTAGTGGGGTGTGGTGATTCTAAGTAGCATAAAAAGCAGACGAGAAAGAAATTTTATGAGTGAAATTCAACGATAGAATCTGTTACAACAAAATAATTAGTTCAGATGATCAGTGACAAGTTAAGAATTGGCGAGATAATGTAAGTGATTGCTGTGACTGCTCTAGGTTCCTTTGAGAATTGCACTAAAATAATGTAGATCGGCATAGTTAATTACATTAGTACGAACATGATCGCTTTTTGTTACCATGGAATTGGCTTAAAAAGCTGCATATAAAACCTCCAACCACTAATTTCTAACATGCCTCCCCTTATGTTACGATTTATTCTTTTCTTAGGTTGCGAAAACAAGCGGAATAAATAAATTCACTCCTCCATGGGGTTTGCGTGTGTCACATAAGACACAAAGCTAGGTTTACAGGCGGATTCGTGCTGACAACAAAATATAGCTTATTTCCCTATTCTTCCGCTTTTCCATGCAGTCTAAATTACTGTAGCATTTATTGCAAAAATGAGTGAAGACAAATTGAAAGTCTCAGTAGCTTTTCACTATATGAGAATATATTCTGAGTTCATTGTCTTCATTAGTGCTTAAGCTAAGTTGCAAGCTGAGCTTAGTAAATAAACGTAAAGTTTTATGACAGTTTCAGCTACGGAGTCTATGCATAAACGTAAACTGATTTGACTTTACGTATTTTGGGGTATTTTCAGCTGAGAGAAGAGATGGTTTAAACTATTAAATAGAAAATTTTCCCTGCTGACTGATTTTTAGAATTTTAACAAAGAAAGGATGACAGAATTTTTGAGTTCACGGGTAAATTGTTGACTTATTTCTGTATCCTCAAAAGAAAATCAAGGCATACATATTATTGAAATGCAGATATCTTTATATGATGATTGGGTAGGATTTGTTATGTCATGAACTTAGTGATGAGAACAAACAAATGATTATGTTGACTACTAGGTCGTCAAAAAATAATTCAAACTGAAGTGCATCTTATGGCAGTTTTCGTACATAAACTGAATATAAAAATATTAGTGAACTGTTCAACATTTCAATGGCATTTACTGATTAGGCATTTAACTTTCTGTTACTGACATTTCAGTCAGCACTAGTTGACATATGGCTTGAATTCTGATGTAAAATCCATTTAAAGATAATTTCTGAGAAAAAATGCTCAATGAGTGTATCGAATTGTAGTCAGAAATAGACAAAATCAAGAAATCATTTACTGTTTGCATTTAAGTCCATTGGCTAAATGGTAACGAACTCACTTAAAAACTTGAGAGACTGTCTTTGACCTACTCTTGCCCTGTCGATACAAGCTATACAGAAATTAAAAACTAGAGAAGAAACGACTTTTAACATTTACCTAGTATTGAGAATTTCAGACTTGTCCAGTTTTATGGTATAACAAATCCGCAGAATGATTATTAATAGGAGCCAACACATTAAGTACCATCGTTCACCAACAGAGGACAGATGAGTGTGTGCATACGTGCGTATTTACTGACAGTATTGTATAAACTACTTGTGAGTTTCCTGAACACGAATCTTAGCAAAGTAGTACTATTCAAAATTCACTAGCCGACTAAGTACAATTAATTATTTAATTAATTAACAGTTCATGCCATATTTCGCTTTAACGTGGTACAAAAACACAAACAATACCTGTCGATGTATAGTTCATGCAACACTAAGCAGACAGAATTGATATGTCTGTTGTTCTTAGTGTTGTAATAGTTTATTATTTGGATTATTTAAAACATAGGTACCTCTTTATAGGGAATAAAAAAGAGTTTGTGTGAGTCTTGTAATCACAAGCAGTACTGTTTGTGCTTATGTGATGCTATTTTCTAAAATATAAGCATTTGTCTTACATTCTTTATTTTTCTAGGTAGAATAATGCCTCAAAAACCAGTGTTCCTTACCTGTCATGATTTGGGATGCAATCGTGAGTTGTACTATCATGATTTTTTTGGCAGTTCTCTCCTTATATATTTATATTACTATTCTATCTGATAATATAAATTTTTGCTTATTTGCACCAACAGAGTTAGCTTATTTTTTCACTGAAGTTGATTTTTCAATTTTTGATAAATGAAAACTGGTCGGAAATTTCAAACTGACATTTGTGTGTTCTGTAATTCCACCCGGTCATGGGGTATAACCAGGTTTAAGGCTACACATAAGATGTCATCATATACACATAATTTAACCTGATTTGGTAACTATAATGAATAGGTACTGCAGTCAAGGTCCCGCTTAATGACGTTAGATCATCAATCAAAATCACCTTCTGAAACGCTGGTATTTAATTTTTGGGAAAGTTTGTTTACACCTTTTATATATAATATTAATGATTTACAATGAATATGAGTGTATGATATGCTACAAATTACATCCCAGTTTCTCATAGGCGTGGGTGATTTCCAAAAAACTGGAAGATATGCAAGTCAAAAGCAACAAGCTGGCAGAAGAAGCATCAAAGATAGGACTCCAAGAAAACATAGAGAAAATAGAGGTGATGAAGATTTCTGGCCAACACCAACAGCAAGAGCCACAACAACAGACAACAATCAGCATAAATGGGAGGAACCTGAAACAAACAACCTCCTTTACCTACCTACCTACTTACCTGGGAAGCATCATTTCAACTATAGGCGGAAGGAACTGACGAGGATATCAAAGCGAGGATCGAGAAAGGAAAGCAAGCTTTCATTACTCTCAAGTCAGTGTGGAGATCAGCATAACTAATCACCATCAAAAATAAGATCCGGATTTTCAACTCCAATGTGAAGCCAGTCAGTGGTACTATACAGATCAGAGACTTGCACTGCGCATCATAAAAAGCACCTCAAACAAACTACAGACCTTCACTGACAGTTATCTTCGCTCAATACTACTCAAAATCAGAAGGCCGGCCAGAAAAGATTACCGACGGGGATCTCTGGCAATGAGCGAACCAACACAGCAGGAACCGATTGTGCAACAAATCAGCAGGAAGAAATGGAGAGGGATCGCATTGGCCTTATTCTGAGGAAACCAACAAGTGACATCACTAGACAAGCCATTACTCGAGTGGAACCCGAAAGAGAAGCGGCGAGTTGGTCGTCAATGCAAGGGTGACGTGGAGGAGGTCATGTGAAGAGGAGATAAAAGCAGACTTGGAGCAGGGTGAAAAAGTTGGCAGAAAACCAAAGGCAATGGATACGCGCAGCTAAAACCCTATGTTCCTCTAGGGATTAAAGGATATACTAGTAATAATAGTAATAATGAAACATCAAACCAGCCCCTTTAAATGAATTTACTTAAATGACTGTTTATTATATCATTTTTTGAACCATTTACCATTCTTATCCTTTTTTACGTGCGCCCAAAATTATTCTACAGAATTTGTATGGGTGTCAGTTGTTTAACAAACAGAATCTGAAGAATGATTTGCCTTTTCATGACTAGAACCCATTGAAAATGTCCATTTCACACATCTGTATGAATAGTTATTCATATACTCCGTTTATTCCGTGATTTGAACAGTAGTACTTGCTAAACTGATAGAAATGATCGAAACATTGGATAGCCGTTTCATCCCTCTGGATTCATGCTCATCAGGTCGTACAGCGATCACATACAACCGCACATTTGTGCAAAGTTCTGTGTCGAAAACAGACAGACAGACAGCGATCTGGGTGACAGGCCCTACTAGTTGATGTGAAGAGTTTCCAGGTATTCGTATTAATTAGTAGTATATACCATCATCTTGTGAAGTAGGTCATATTGTTGCGATGTCAGTATTTTAAGCTTCCGAAATAGAAAGTGATGAGTTTTCCCCTTAATCTGTATTGTTTCTAAATGAGGAATTCAACTTAAATTTTTTAGAATTATTACTTGAATAATACCAACTACTTGTGTACCAAAGTGTTGGTGGCACAGCAGTAGAATGCTGATCAACCCCGCCTGTGGTTCGATCCCCGGCCGACACACTCCTTTACCTCGCTAAGCCAGTAATAAGACTCGTAAGGAGGGAAGGTTAGGCATGAGGCTAGCCACCGAATCATTTAATAATATCACTTAAAAACCACTGATAGCGAAAATTCAAAGATCTAGTCTGGAGCCGTATGTTCCGCTGGGAAAGTACAGCAATAAAAAGAATTTGTGCAAAAAACATATAAAGTTCTGAACGATGTAACGTAAATAAACAGGGCATATTATCCTATGGTAAGCTTAAACTGAGAAATGGAGTTGAACAGTCTTAAACTATACTACTTTTACCTTGATAAAAATTCACAAAAATACAAAAGTATTCACTTGTAGGGAAGTATGATAAACTTATGAAGAGTTGGCTAAGATTCAGTATAAATTCATATCACCATGGTCATGCCACCTAACAATTTATCAAATGCATAAAACTAAAGTTTTCCGTATGACCTTAAGAACTTTCACCTTGAATAAATAAATAAATCATTGATAAAAGCAGGTGACTAAACACTTATTCTCACTTTTATTATCGAAAGTATGAATTATAAAGCCTTCTGTTCTCTTATACTTCGCTTTGGTATTGTCTGTAATCCACTTCTCAAACAGAAGGCAGTAAACTGTATACAAAGGTAAATTCTCCTCTGTTATGCTCACTGAAGCTGGTGTCCCCCAAGGTGTTGTACTCTCCCCACTTCTCTTTTCTTTCCTCCTTTCTACATGACTTACCATCTTCAAATGACATTAATTTTGTTAAATATGTTGACAACCTGACTGTATCTTTGTCTGTCAAGTGTCAAGGTGACTGCTCCAAACATAATGGCTTTTTGTCAGAAATCAGCCAGTGGTCCAAGAAAAACGGTCTGACCTTAAACCCCTCCAAATGCCAAACAGTCAATTTCACATTTAGGCATATATCTGACCTAAACAAACTGGTTAGCACTCACGAGGTGTGCAAAATAGAGGGCATTGAAATAGAAACCAAGTCGGAAATTAAATATCTTGGCGTTATTCTATCTTCTGTTCTTTTCTGGTCGTCTCATATCTTGATGATTTCTAAGAAAATATTCCATCCTACCTTCTACATCAAGAAGTTAAGACATTCTGGAATAACCCAACCCTTACTCCTACAATTCTTTAACTCCCGTATTTTGCCTATTATTCTCTGTTGTTTCCCCTTAGTTTTTCCAGGGCTACTGAAGAGGGACTATACCTTATTACGCAGGATGTTAAAGGTCGTCAGCAGGGTAAGCAACGTGCCACTTAACCAGCTTGTTAACATTCTGGTCGACAGGCACATGGACTCATGTGAAAAATGGGCTAAATCCATTTTATCTAACTCACACCACCCTCTTCATTCATAACTCTCCCCTTATATCTCATTAGGCAGGACTAGAAGCCTATATAGAAAAATATATGCTCTCACTAGCTAGGAAGTAGAAAAACTCAACCATACCCTACTTGGCTCGTGTTCTATTCGATAAAGAAAGGATTAGGCGTGATACCTATAACTTAATAAATAGTCAGTAGAACAACTGGATCTCGTCTTTCCAACTCATATCATTTACAGGTACGACGTTTTTCTTTCTTTCTTTTCCGTTTCTCCGTTTCTCTCTTTTTTTTTCTAGACCTTTTGTTACTGCTTAAGCCAGTAATTATACTAGTATCTACTTTTCTAACACCTTCAAACATTCTCTTTCATTTTTGCTTTGCTGCCGATATGCCAATATGTTGGCGAATAAATGTGTCGTCAAGACGAATTGAGATTACGCTTAATCTATGTAGAATTTTATTTATTGTTAATTTACCAACTGGATGCAATACTTTATGTAGTAAAATGATGAGAATTCCATTCTGTATCACAAGTACTGTTTTGGAATAAAGCAAATTATTATAATTATTACTATTATTACATCATGGGAACAGAAAAATAACTCTAAGTTCATATATGAGGTCAGATATAAGTTACCGAAGTTGATATTAGACATATACTTCAGTCGCTGAACTGTATAATTCTTTATTTTTCAGGTCAATACTTACTCCCATTTTAACAATGTTAAAACGCTGGTACTTCGTAAGTGTCTAAGACTTCTGTGTACCCTTTACTTGCTTAAATACTATTCGTTCTATGAGGGGTCTACCACAGTTATATCAGACCGTTACTAAAATCTCAGTCGATTATATCAACAAATGATGTGATAGAACTATGTGAAATAGTCTTGCTTTTGGAAAGTTGTTGTTGATGTAGTGGGTGAAGATGAAAAAGAAATCTAGGTTGCAGCTAGATCTGAAAATGTTGCCTCCAAGCCTCCAATCTAGTACTTCTATATAGGATCCAGATAGTCTTACCATTCACTAACAAGCTACTAATCTTCTTCTAATTCAGTATGATTAGGACTGACAACAGCTGGATGGTGAAAAATGGATATTTAGTTATAATTAATGCAATTCACAGATGGACAGTGCCTGTGGTGATTCTAGGGAAATTATGCCTTGTTAAGCAGTTGGGCCTTGTAGCACAGCTGGTAGAACGTCGTGGTAGTAGTTTGGAGACCGCTAGTTTGAGTCTTGCTACTACTCAAACTTACGTTAATAAATGAGTTCCGGTTTAAGTGGCTGGATGGTCAGCGAGTTCTGCCTCTTAATCATAAATTCTCAGCTTTGTACCCAGATGAAGTCATGGGTGTTGACTGAAAGGTTCTAAACTACGTCAAAACAGCTTCTGGTTATCATGGGATCTTAACTGATCCTGATTTGTGGCGAAATTTACATTGAAGTAGATTTTCTATAGTTTGGTTGGTAAGGGTTAGTTTTTTTTAAAAGTTGATCACGGATTGATTGATATCAGTTAGAGAAGCATTGAAAAACAGGGAGTACTGGACAGCTGCTGTTTCATCCTAGTTCGGGAATCATAGACATTACACACCCACTGAGGTTGGAATCTAGGACCTTCCAACTACAAGGTAAGCTCGTATACCA